TTCCCAACCTTCCTCCACAACCTCTGGAGCCACATCTGCACTCCCTGTCAGCTGTTCCTCCTCTCCCTCAGGGTCCGACTGAACCAAGGGCATGACGGGGTTTCTGCCCCATGCAAAGGGATTTTCCTGAATTTCAGAAGGACCTTGACAAATAGGGGCCAACCAGAGGTGGTCTTCAGCTGGTTCTGACAGGTTCTGGAGAACCGGTAGCAGAAATTTTGAGTCGTTTGGAGAACCGGCCAATCCCACCTCTGACTGGCCCCGCCCCCGTCTATTCTCTGCCTCCCACTGAGTGCCAGCTGATTGGCTGGGTCTTCTTTGGCTGCCCTGCAGAGGAGAACGGAGCTGGAAAGCAGGTTAGTGGGGAGGGGAGGGAAGGGGGATGTTGCAGTATCCTTCCCCTGCCACGCCCACCGAGCCAAGCCACACCCACAGAACCAGTAGTAAAAAAAATTTGAATCCCATCACGACACAACACAAGAGACCATCCATCGCGCTTGTTTTTTTAATGACGTTCCCCAAATACACAAGCCCGGTTGATCCTCGGCGTGGCTCAATTTTTTCCTCCGTCTCCCCTTCTTTCCAAAATGGGCCGATGTAAGTTTGCATTGCCAAGTCCAGTTTTTCTGAGAGGCGGCGTGTCCTTCGCACCACCTGTCCGTCCTGCAGCTGGTTACAAAAGGGACACCCCAAGCCAGATGTTTTATTCGGTGTGGACTCGACGGACGGCCGCCAGCCGACACCACTTTCCGAAAGCCTGCAGAGAGATTCAGATTTAAGATTCAGGTTAACAGAGCTGGAAGGGACCTTGTAGGTCATCTAGTCCAACCCCACTGCCCAAGCAGGAGACCCTACACCATTTCTGACAGAGGGCAGTCCAGTCTCTTCTTGAAAGCCTCCAGTGATGAAGCCCCCACAATATCTGAAGGCAACTTCTGTTCCATGTGTTGATTGTTCTCACTGTCAGAAAGTTCCTCCTTATTTCCAGGTTGAATCTCTCCTTGGTCCATTTCCATCCATTATTTCTTATCTGGCCTTCGGCAGCTTTGCAAAATAGCTTGACCCCCTCCTCCTTTCTATGACAGCCCATCAAATATTGGATACTGATCTCCTGTCTCCCCTGATCCTTCTCTTCCCTAGACTAGCCGGGCCCAGATGGGCCAGGGGAGCAGAAACCCAGGGGTGGGATTTAAAAATCCCAACAACAATCGGTTCTCTGCCCAGTTGCTGGGTGGGCATGGCCTACCGGAACTTCTTTCCCCCCTCTCAGAGCCTCCGTGAGGATTCTGCACTTACCTGCATCCAAAATGGGCCACGTGGAGACTCCTGGAATGGGGCCAGCCCGTCAGTTTAACTACCGGTTCAACAAACCGGATGTAAATTTAACACCCGGTTCTCCTGAACCAGCCCGAACCGGATGAATCCCACCCTTGCAGAGACCCTTGGCTGAACCCAACCGCAGAACGAAGGGAAGGGCCAGGTGATGGGGAAGGGGGTGATGATTAACCACACCCCACACACCCCCCCCCCCCAACGCATTCTTCCTACTGTTTTGAGCAACTGGTCCTCTTCGGCTTCGTGGAAACGCTGGGCCACCTGGAGCTGCAACCAACGCCGTCTCCATATCTTCCAGCCCCACTGAGCTCTTCTCCACCATCTCTGCGGGAGGAGGCATGACACCGATAGAGAGACCCCAACCCTGGTTAAAATCATCCCCCCAAAAGCCTGGAGTAGCCGAGATGAGGGATTTTAGCAGCTCTCCCATTTGCAGAGACTAGGAATAACTTTTTAACGCATGCCAATAAAGTTATTCTGTTCTATTCTATTCTAATTTCTGTTCTATTCTATTTTCTATTCTATTCTATTCTTATTTCTATTCTATTCCTATTCCTATTCTATTTTTATTTATATTCTATTATTTCTATTCTATTCTTAGTTCTATTCTGATTTCTATTCTATTCTGATTTCTATTCTATTCTTAGTTCTATTCTATTCTTATTCTTATTCTATTTTCTTATTTCTATTCCTATTCTAGTTTTATTTCTATTCTATTCTTATTCTATTCTATTCTTATTTCTATTCTATTCTAATTTCTATTCTATTCTTATTTCTATTCCTATTCTAGTTTTATTTCTATTCTATTATTTCCATTCTATTCTATTATTTCTATTCTATTCTTATTTCTATTCTATTCTTA